TTATTCTACTGAGCCGCTGCCCTGGCCCCATAGTTTATTATCTTTGAGACCATGTCCAAGTCACTTACTGTCCTGGATATTTGGTTTCTTGAATGCCTTGGCAGGCTTAAGCCCTATATGTTTATGGAAGCCCCTTGTATAGCTGGAATATAAGACCCCAGTGTATTGGATTTAATATGAGTAACAAAAATTTAATTTTTCCATTTCTCTTGAGGAATCTGTTAAATCTACAGGGTCACTCACAGAAGTTTTCATCGTGTGTTTTGTCCTTCCTCCAACCATAGCTCCAACAGGTTGTTCAGTCTCAGCTCAAATATATAGATTTCTATCACTTCATTATGAAAATTCCAGTATTTGTTAGATACTGGCATCTAATTTCACTCTCTAAAATTTCCTTGAAAACAAGCTTTGCCTGTAGAGCACAGGGCTAAAACATCTTGACTAAGGTTTAAGTCAGCCATACTGCTAGTCAACATTAAGCACACAGCCCGTTGCCTTACAAGTTCATGGAGGCTAAGGACGATACTGTGTTGTCCAATACAGCGTGTCCACATTTCCACTTCTCCTCCCTGCCAGCCAAGGCTTCTTGTTAGTGCTTGCTCACTGTGTCTGTCACCTCTATTTACAAGTCACTCCGACCAGTAGTCACAGAATCATCCTTGTCTTTTCTTAGGTAGCCCATCTGCTTAGCCACAAAGACCTATTTCAATGCCTCATCAGTTTTAGACTCCTCTCTCCTTCTAACTGCTTCAGCCTGAGTTCCATTGCTCGTTATCTCCTGACTGCGCCTAAAGAAACCATTAGAGCTGCTCACTTGTCCTTTTCACTATGAGATCCTGCTTCACACTATAAACAAAATGGTCCATTTTCATGGAAGAGCTAGTCTCATTACTCCCATCCTTGAAAAGCTTTTCTGGTTTCTCCACTTTTTAGCTGCAAAAGAACTGCAATGCCAGATTATTATAAGAGGTCACTACACATTTTCCTTACCGGCTTCCTTTTTTCTTAAATTTTACACTGGCATAATTTCAGGTGAATTCTCATTCCCCAGTCATGCACTCTGCTATTTAACACTTCTGTGTTTTACTTTTACTTTTTTATGTATTTAGTACAGGGTCTACAGGGTCTCACTTCGCAGACCTGACTCGTAGCCATCCTCTTGTTTTCAGCCTCCCAAGCACTGGGATTACAGGTGCGAACGACCACCTCCAGTCTTAGTCGCCTTCTCAGCACATCTTAGGGGCAGGGTCAGTACAACACACCAGAGATCAAACCCGGTCATTGAGCCTTCCAAAGCAGGTGCTTTAGTCTGCTGAGCTACCTGTGCAGCCCTACTTCTGTGTTTTGGTAAGCTGTTACCTCTGCTTGGACTTTCCATCCCACTGTCTTCTCATAGTAATGCTTCTCAATTTTTCATGTTCAACTAGAAGGTTTCACTGGTAGCAAAATGCTTGTGAATCCCTAAATTGACCTAAGTCTCACTTCTTTGTTATTCATAGAATCAATACCTTGTATACCTTGTAATGAAATACACTAACTCACTTCAAATCTTGACATGTTTCACCACGGTCATTGCAGATTCTGAAGTCCCCATATAAAACTAAGGTTCTGGGACTTCCCCAGGCTGTCTGTACCGAAAGTTTAGCTAGTGATAACTTGGTAATCAATAAAATAATACATGATTAGAAAAATCTTATTCTGTTCCTCTCAACTCACACATTCTCTGATGATAAGAAGTAACATGTCTTTGGAATTCATGAAATACAGTTTCACATACTCCAACATTTCTATGATGAAAACTTCATAGAGCTCTTGAACATCCAGCTCTTTTTTTCTTAATTTTTAGCTATTACCAAACATTATTCAATAGTTATTTAAAAGAACATGCAGGGGCCAGGGAGATGGCTCGGTAGAATAAGTGCTTCCCTGGCAAGCGCAAGGGCCTGAGTTCAATCCCCGGTTCTGCCAAAAAAAAAAAAAAAAAAAAGATAAAAGAACATGCAGGTAGGCTTTACTCTTCTTCCTCTTCAATGGATTTTAAGAAAAAGACAGACTCTTCCTAATGGGACTAACTAAACTCAAGTGGTGTTCATTCAGTTGTTGACAAGTAAAGACTTTTGTTTCTTTTTTCCAGAGTGTCTGAAAAATTCACAAACTATTTTCAGAGTAAGACGAGGTAACCACTCAAATTTATTTGCTAAGTGCCATCAAAAATAAAATAATCTATCTTGTCTGAACATTTGTGCATATTTTATGTATGCATATATAAGTACATATATATATACATATATATATATATAATATGTAATTTGGAATCATATAAGTAGATATAAATCACATCCAGGCAAAATATGAGCACATGAAATAATACAAAAGCACAAAAGCAATTTTGAGGGGAAATGAGAAGAAACAATGCTGTAAGTATTGTTCTGGAATGAACAAATTTTTCTTGTATAGTTTGTATAAAAATATGTCATTTGTATTCTCTTGAAACTAAATCTGTTCAACTCACCTTCATATAACCAGTCAGCAATTCCATTAAAAATAATTCCTTCTTTTCCAGAAGATGTCAGTCGCAACGAACTGCTCTTTATATCAGGCCGATAGTAGATATTATTTTCAAAAATATAAATCTGGATCAGGAAACATAGGAAACAAAGAAAAAAAAACACCCAACATGTTAGGATGCCTATTTTTATTTTGATACCAGAGAATAATCACTGAGTCGGTCAGTCTTTTATCATTGCCTGCTTTCAAACTGCTTTTATCTAATGTGCATATTTGCATTAAATTCTATTATTAATGGCTTTTTTGCCTATCATAGCCATATCAAGTTGTCACTTGGAATTATAAGGCACTGCATATTGATGCTTTTAAATTCATATTTCATCAACAATATTTCATCTGCTTGCTAATATCTCTCCCATGCTACAAAATTAGCTTGGCTCTAAGATAAAATTTTCACACTTAAGAGACAGATAACTGCAAGTAGATAGCATTTTAGTGACAGTCATCTGACTGAAGTGCTTCAATTGGGGGTCTTTCGCGAAAAATACATTTGGTAATCAATAAAATAATACGTCCTTAGAAAAATCTGATTCTGTCCTGCTCAACTCACACATTCTCTGAAAAGAAGCAACAATAAAATATCTTTGAACCGAGTGAAAAACAGTTTCGCATACGCCAACATTTCTTTGTAATTCTTTCTTCAGTCTCATGGCAATAACAATAACCTGTGTCTGAGGGTTGAATAGTTTCAAACACATTACAGAGTCTTCCAGACTAGAATCAACAATAATAGGAACAACGATCTCATGCAGGCAGATGTGTCTTTGCTACAGATAATTTGGAATAAAATTTCTTATAATTCACTATGCAGTTTCTTTAATGCCAAATGTTAAAACTGCTTATCGGTGTGCTGTTTGAACCTTCAATAGAACTATTTGTCCTCTGCATACTGGGAAGTAGGATTGCTGTTTAGACCAAATGCCTTTCTAAGAATGTGAAAGATGGTCCAGTTCCTGTGTGTTCTGCATGCTGTATCATCACATAGTCAGGAGGGCAAAACCCAGAAAGTTTGAAATGATTATCTAAGTAACTACAAAGCCTGAGACATTTAATCTAGATGTACACTGTGGGAAACAATCCAAATGTCTCACAAACTTCACTAGTATTTTACTTTCATACAGCAGACTGGATAACAGTCTAAGTAATCATTCTGTCAATACACATCTTATATATTATAGGCAAGAATACAAAAATGATGGTACAATGCAGTGTATAAAAGCATGGGCTACACAATGCAAAAGTTTAAATCTAAATATGTAGTGATCGTGCTAACATTCTTGATCGTCTGTCTTCTAAAATAAAATGTGACTAGTTAGAGAATTTTCTTTCAGATGACATAATAGTAATAGATGCAAGATAGATTTAGTTACTTTCAGAGTCCCTGATCACTGGGCAGTAAATAATTAAATACATAAATAAATAATAATAAAATAACTTTAATTATAGCCAACTACGGTTTATGCTTCAAATCTTTTGCATTCTACCTATTTTTTTTTTTTTGTCTTTCATATTGGTCCAGAAATTCTTTCTTGGAGAAAATCCCTTTCGGTATCTCAACCTTCTAACTGGACTTGCAAGCAGTTGTATTGTACATCGCCCACACCTCGTCTGCTGAGGACGTTATTAAGAGCAGGGCAGGGGGCCGGGGAGATGGCTCAGTAAGATAAGTGCTTGCCTGGCAAGCGCCAGGGCCCGAGTTCAAGACCCACTTCTGAAAAATAAAGAGCAGGGCTGCCTGGGACTGGCAAAATAGCTCAGCTGTCTAAGTGCCTACCTAGGAAGGAGCTGGGTTTACTCCCCAGAATCACATGCTGAGTTTGCCTTAAAACCAGGTGTGGTGAGGCACACCTGTAATCCCAGTGCTGGGGAAGCTGAGACAGGAGGATCACTAGGAGTCTGAGAAGTGTAGCAAGACCCTATACCAAATAAATAAATAAGGAAACAAATAAATATTTTTTTTTAAAAAATAAAGAATAGGGATGACTTCATTCAAAGTAACATGGTCCTAGAGTAACAGCTTTCCAGAGATGGAATCCTAAGTCAAGATGATTAATAAAACCTACACGACTTCAGCAGATGTATAAATTATCTGAAACTACTGACCAGTAATTGCACTTATATTTGAAGAACAAATTGCATGATATTTAGAGTCCATATGAAACTGACATCTGCTCCAAAGTAAAAGAACAACCAATATGGAACCAGAATGTTAATGTCATTCCTCTGCAAGATGTGTTATGTGAGGATGCCTATGAGACATGCAGGCAAAACTATTAGTAGCTGCCTTCACAAAAATATACATTTTTAGTTCCTGAGCCTATCTTCAGTTACCAAAGTATATTGCAACTCTGTCCACCACCTTGACAAATTGAGAGATCTTCATTTTCTGAAGTATTATATGGGCTCTTTTTTCTGACTTGCATGCACTTGGTTGCTTTTTCCACGCAACAAGAGAATAACTAAGATGCACAGTGTGCTAACCTATGGAGTTAGGAAATGTGTAATATTCCAAGAAATTCTTCCTCCTCCTCCTCTTCTTCCTCGTCCTCCTCCTCCTCTTCCTCCTCCTCCTCTTCCTCCTCCTCTTCCTCCTCCTCTTCCTCTTCCTCCTCCTCCTCTTCCTCCTCCTCCTCTTCCTCCTCCTCTTCCTCTTCCTCTTCCTCTTCCTCTTCCTCTTCCTCTTCCTCTTCCTCTTCCTCTTCCTCTTCCTCTTCCTCTTCCTCTTCCTCTTCTTCTTCTTCTTCTTCTTCTTCTTCTTCTTCTTCTTCTTCTTCTTCTTCTTCTGTATTTGATTGTTACAGGATCTCTCTATGAAACTTGGCCTCATGGTAATCCTCCTGCTTTGAGCTTCTCCTGTGCTGGAGTTAAAGGTATGTGCCACTAAGCCCGGACACTGGCCAGCCCAGCCCCCCATGGACCTGGCACAACATCTGGTGCCTACAATCAAAAAACGGGCCCTGTGCTTGCCTAATTTTGCCTAAGCAGGAGCTTTAATCTGCTGAGCTATCTTGCCAGCCCCATAAAGAAATTATTTCAACCAATGTGTTTGTCAATATGGTCCATTTACCAACTGACTGGATTCACTGTATATTACTGAAAAGCTAGAGTTTAAAAGAGCCAAGTTTAATTTTCTTCCTTCTTTTTCTTCTTCCACAACATCTACCAAATGCTCTAGATGTTAGATATTTCAGTAATTGGATTTCTGGATGGGGAAACATTGAACCAAAATCCTTTCTGTTCACAAACAGTATAGTGGATCTGTAATAAGAAATGAATATTTGATATTAAAAACAATTAAATTTCAGAAATCAGAGTCATCCCAGTATAAATTGTGGTTGATTCAATGAGTGAAAGATAAAGTGATGAATTCAATCTGTGAACTGTAATGCCATCAGAGGATGATAGCTTAGCATTGGAGAAATACTGTACTTGGACTGACTTTTGTTAAGGCTTTCATTCTGGCAAAATATGTGCAATTTTCAAAACTATCCCAGATAACAGGATTTTCTCAGAATGACATAGTGAAGTATCATTAATATTCTATTGCATTATGTAGATCTTGTCTTTATCCATCTATCAATAAACTTTTATGTTCTTTCCCTTCCTTCTTTACTGTAAGTGGTTCAATACATACAGGAGGAATGATACTTTTATGAAATCCTTACCTCAGTCCTTTGGGGTAAGTACAAAGAAGTAGAATTATTAGATCTACTTCTAATAATGAGGTACTTTTATTTATTTTCTTTTTTATGTATTTAGTACAGGATCTACAGGGTCTCACTACATAGATTGGACTTGTAGTGATTCTTCCTGCTTTTCAGCCTCCTAAGCACTGGGATTATGTATGTATTACCACGCTCAGTCTCAATCACAGTCTCAGCATGCAGAGGGAACACGGCCAGCACGGCAGGCCAGGCATGGAATTCCCAGCCCCTGAATGTGCCTAAGCAGGTACTTTAATCCACGGAGCTATATGGCCGGCACAATTTTATGTTATTTTTTTTAACAAATATTCACACTATTTTCCATTGTACCTATACTAGTTGCACTCCCATCAATAATGATTTTTTTTTTTAGATTTTAAGCAACATCTTTCTTTCTTTTGTATTGTTAATAGCCAATTCAACAAATATGAAAATATAACTCATTGTCATCTTGATTTGTATTTTCCTGATGATTAGTGATCACTTTCCTATTTGTGTGTGTGTTTCATATATTTGCAAAGAAACTACCACAATTAATATAAATGATGATGATATAACATCAATCTGGCTCATGAATTAAATGGATATATATCTGATAGCAATGAGGGGTGTTGCTACTCTGCAGCAGTACAACAGCTGGGCTCTCTCTGAGGTGGTGCACTTAGTGTCTCAGTGGGACAAGTGGGGCTGGTAGGGTCTGTGATTCAAGGGTCCTTTGGTACGGGTTCTGGGTTATGTGGATCCACACAACATGGAGCCCTCCAGCCTTTGCCTGTGGACATGGAAGGGTTCACAGTCACCCTACCCCCTTGCTGGCCAAGCTTCATGCACAGTTTAATGCTGCTAACCCTCCTTGGCCACCTGTTGAGCAGCCTCCTGAGTTGCCTGGTGGACACCAAGGACTGGGAGCCATGGGTTGCCAACAGCACCTAGGTGTTCATGTGGTACATGTGGACAGAGAAGCCCCAGGTGAAGCAGGAGGAGCAGCAGCAACAGCAGGGCCAAGGCTCTGACTGGGCTGTGGAGGGATGACTCCTTCGTTGGACTTCCAGCTGTCTTGGGCACACACCGTGTGTGACTCCCCAGGCCTGACCCCTCACCAGGGTGTGGCCCAGCTGCTTCTCCTTCCTGCAGACCAGCCATGCTGCAGCAGAACCCACAGGCCTGGGACAAGTTGCTAGCAGGGCACAGTCAGACTAAGGGATCAGGTAACTTATAGGGATTGTCCTGTGGGGGTTGGGCAAACTAGGCTGGTTGCTCCACAGCTGAGCATGTGAACAGTCTCTTTCCTCCAGAGTAAATACACTGCCCATCTGGAGAAAAGGGTTTTCAAGGTTGACACTATTAACATTTAATATGAG